TGGGGGGGGGGGGGGGTATATTACCGTCACCCATCCACAATAGATCATAGGCAATCTAGAAGGCACAACTATTGACTGATTTCGACGAAACTTATTGGTATGATTATGTGTAATCACCAAAGGACAAACCCTATATTTAGTACGACTTATTGCCCTTGTTTTTGAAATGCTCATAAACACTCCAGAAGGCGCAATTCTTGGCGGAATTTGATGAAACTTGGTGTGTGTATTTGTTATCACCCAAGGATGTAATCTATTGAAAATCAGAAAAATAGAAAATATTTAGTATGAGTTATAACAGATTTTGACGAAACTTGGTAATATTTTTCAGTATCGCCTCAAAACGTTCAAAAGAAGTGTATGACTGAAGGTTGAATATTTCATACTGGTAATTGTTACCAGTAATTGTTAATTGCCAAATATTTTTGTATATTATGATTATCGAAGAAACTGGGGGGGGGGGGGGGCTTGTCTCCCCTGTCCTCTTTGACCACCCCCACCCCCAGGATCGCCGCCGCTGGTCTTTTAAACTGTTTGATATCCTGGACAAACCAATTTTCGACATGAACACTATTAGTGGTTAGTACAAGGGTTCGATTGGTCAAACGGATGGTGAACTTGTCCCTCAATAAACGTCCCATCAGCATCACTGACCTGTTGTTTTGAACACAGGAAGTTATACCTTTTTAGATCCATCACTTTGCGCAACAAAGCCATCACGATTTCCTTTTCAACAATAACAATATAAAAAAAAATTATATGATAAACACTTCAATATTTGAATCACAATTTAATAACCCGTGTGATCAATGCTGTAAAATTTCAATAAAAACTAAGGTTATGATAAACAAACATAAAGCGAACATATAATTTGTTTAGATACCACTCAGATTTGTTGATTAATACACAGTATTAAAACGAGCGAAATTGGAAGATAATCGGTACATTCGATAGTCTTTAGACTAAACTACTAAAACTATCGACCTTAAAAATCAATCAAGTTACAGTGTAATATTTCGTTTGGGAATATTTAGCGCAACGCTAACTACATCCTCATCATTGTTAAGGAGTGGAAGCGAGTATGGTGCGTTTTCTCATCCATTACTGACAATATACTGCATTATACAAACATTTCATTTTAGGCATTATACTTAAACTTTATTAAGAGCAGTCTGTCATAATATCCAGTTGAAGTAACCACTTTCTTGAACATTAGTGGTATCTACTATAAAGAAGACTAAAATACTAACAGCAAATCACTTTCAAATAATTGAACTACTGAAATCGGTTAAAAAATTGCCCGATCACCACCAAAACCGATCACCAACTGAAGCTAATGTGAAAAAGCAGTTTACGACCAATCTACGTGTGAACGTATATTATGAAGGATGTTCGCCTTATCATATTTACATAACGTGTTTCATCGATGTTTACATTGACATAAATCTGCCATAAAGTATTAATGAAATTTGAAGTACGTCATTTACAACCGAGTAAAATCGACACAATCATTTCTCAAAAAGCGACCATAAATCTAAATTTCAAGTTTGACGAAAACGCACACGCGATTTTCCGTGAAAATTTAAACATTCTAAATATGATTAACAATTTCATTGTCTACAATCAACTGATATATATCATGCCTTAAAGCAACAACAATTTGAATCTACTTATCTTTGCATTTTTGGTTTTGTTTCTGTTCAAATGCAAATAGTTTTGCTAACACACTGGATCCAAATGATAATATTTTCAGTTCTTTGTCCCCAATCTCATTCGAGACCTATTAATTCCATCTTTGCCTGACAGGGTCGAGGTCAACGCTCGAATGCAGGAAATGGATACAGGAAACCAAGGCTGTTGTTACCTCCCCGTGTGACTACAACGGATTACCAGTCAATGAATGCTTAAACAATTCTTTTCAAATAGAAAATGCTTGTTGGCAAAAGAGATATGTTTTGGGGGGTTTTGTTGTTGTTATGAGACTAAATTAGGTATTTTTTCCTTCACTTTATTTGTCTCTGTTAGGTTGTTTATAGCTGTACATGTTTACTCGTATTTCCTTTGATATAGATTTGTCTACGACTATAACGTTGCATTGGCCATGTTAATCTGCCACAATAAATTACGATTTAAGTTTGAATATTTACTTATATATGTACCAATATATTCCATGGAACGTACATGGTGAAATTTTTTTTAGGGCAAAGCACTTTTTTAGGGCGAATCACCACACGACTTTTGAGGACATCCTTAATAAGGGTATCCGAAACAACAAAACAAAAGAGGACGGACCAAAAACTTTCAATCCTGTTCAAATACATGAAAGGAGCTGCACCTTATTTTTACATTTATTATATTGAATTTATAACCCTGTTTATACGATTTTATGGCTTCAACGATCATTTAAATATCGAAGCACATTTTGTAATAATTTTATTCTGGCTTGGATCAATTCAAGCGACGAAGTATTCAATAATATCAAGATGAATCTGATTTTAGTGACCATTTGCTCAATTCTCCTAACACAAGGTAAGATTTTATGATACTTAATATCTTAGGAGGTGTTAACCCTGAAACCCGAATTTCCATCGTTCCCTCTTTGCGTTCTTAAGGCTAATGTGAGAAGAATGAAGATTCTCATTTTTTGGAATCCTTTTGATGTATCTAAATCTAAATCTAATATTCTTTTTGGTTGTACATTTTACCAATCTGTACTTTTATTGAGATTTTGTTCGCGACAAACAAACCTCTCTCTTAGTATGTAACTTGTACAGCAATCCAGAAGCCGCTATGTAAGATGAGCCTACTATTTATATTGATTTTATTTTCAGTACATGGTGATGTTATATCTGGACGAGTAACATGTGATAATATCGGAAAGTTCTTTGTTGATGGTCAACTTGAAACTAGTACAGACAGATGGACAGCCTCTTATCCAGTTTCCTTTCCCGATACATCATTCGTCCTGGCATTCGATTGTCTGGATGTGGGTGTGATCGGAGGAATTCGAGGCTCATTTAGTAATGGGGTGGTTACTGATTCGTCATGGAGATGTTCAACCTCAGCCCCTGAAGGCTGGAACAAATTAGGGTAGGATATTTATTTCCAAAATCCTCTTCTTTCTTGTAACCTAAACAACGTTATATGTGTCACCAGCTGATACAGCCAATTTTAGCTGGACATATCATATTCAGAATTAAAATCTGATGCATGCAGTTATTGATATTCACACATACAATTATTACCAATATTGTGACCATGAGTTTGCCACCGAGGGATAGTGTTTTTAGTCTTTTTGGCAAGCTTTAAACTACCTTAGCGGGAAGAATATGTACAGTGACGTGTGCAGAGAAATGTTAATCTGAAACTACCCATGAACAAAGTATTTAACCGAGAAAATAAAGTAAATCTTACTTCCAAGGGTTCTAGCACCTTCAAATGAATAGTGATTGAAGGTTTCTTGTAAATGGGCACGTTCGCTGGGGTCGTTCACATCTGTTCAATAAATAGAACTTTATTCTCAGAAACGGGAATTGTTTCGTAATAATGTTCTCAGCTAACGTCGAAATTTGAGCCTTCTTAAGCCACGCGTATCTGCAATTATTACCAAAACAACTAGCCTTCTCTAGAGACTTAAGATTTTGAATTGTTGCTGTCGTTATTAGCTCGAAGTTAGATAACCTTACACACCGTATTTCTATCATCGACAAGACATACACCTTTCAGGCAGGGGAGAAACTATAAAAATAAAAAGCGAAATTTTTAGTTTGAGGTATATTTGAAGCGACAATGCGATTTTCGAACAGTTCTAGTACTTTTGAAGACCATTTACATAATTATATTCAAGTACAACAAATCAACCTCGGAAAATGCCAATTATTGCCCACATATAATGACACTTATTTGTATATAGAACCTTATATGATAGGTCAGTAAGAGTACTGCTTAACATTATAATTAAAAGCTGTAATGATCTTATAGGGTGCTTATGACAGGACAAACTCTGTTTATACGCCCACATGAAATGGAGGGCGTATATTGTCACCACCCATGCCCGTCGGTCCGTCCGTTCGTCCGTCCGTCCTTCATTCCTTCCTTCCGTCCTTCCTTCCGTCCGTCGACAATTGCTCGTAAACACTCTACAAAGCACAATTCTTGACTGATTTCGACAAAACTTGGTTAGGTTGTTTGTAAGGATGAACCCTATTGAAAATCAGAAAAATCGAAATATATTTGGTATGAGTATTGGTATTGCCCTTGTTTTTAAAACGCTCGTAAACACTCTAGAAGGCGCAATTCTTGGCTGATTTTGATGACACTTGGTGCGAGTGTTTGTTATTACCCAAGGATAGACCCTATTTAAAATAAGAGATCAAAAAATAATTAGTATGAGTTATTGCCCTTGTTTTTGAAAACGCGTTCAATTTTACTGTAAACACTTTAGCAGGCACAATCCTTGACGGATTTTGACGAAACTTGGTGTGAGTGTTTGTAATTACATAAGGATAAACCCTATTGAAAATCTGAAAAATTGAAAAATATTTAGTATGAGTTATTGCCTTTGTTCTTGAAAACGTGTTCAATTTTTAGCTCGTAAACACTCCAGAAGGCACACATCCTGACAGATTTTGACCAAACTTGGTGTGAGTGTATGTATTCACCCAAAGATGAACCCTAACGAAAATAAGAAAAATCGAAAAATATTGCAAGTAAATACTCTAGAAGGCCCAATTCTTGACAGATTTTGATGAAACTTGGTAATATTATTCAGTATCTTCTCAAAAAGTCCAAAAGAAGTGTATGACTGAAGGTTGAATATTTCATACTGGTGATTTTTACTGTACTGCCAAATATTTTTATTTAAAATCAAAGCTGCCAGTGGGCGTATATTACCTTTCTTTCCTATCTTCCCAGAATACCTGGTTCGACTCGGCATTGTCTATATGGTAAATTTATTATCTTTTTGTCATAACGGTATCTCAGCATTGTTATTAACATTTAATTAATGTTAATCTATTAGATTTGATGATAGTAAATGGCAGGATGCCACTATACAGACACACACCAACTGGGGAAATCGCCCATCATCTATACCTAGTGAAGCTAAATGGATTTGGACTGCTGGCGATACTGCAGATAGACATGTTTTCTGCAGGCGAAGATTACACCCAGGTATGTGCAGCGTTGTGGGAAAGCATCATTATCGCATAGGTCGCGGTATGTGGACGATTGTTTTGCCTTCGCCAAAATACATTTTCTTGTCGTCGGAAGATCGCAAATGATCTCAGTCCAGTCTAACGGGGTATTATTTGACAAATATTAATTTGGTCCAAATTTATCTATAAATGTGCCTTCTATACACCAAGAAACCAAACTTTTTTCGAACAACAAGGACAGTATCACATAAAAATTTTTTCTTTTTTTTTGACATTTTGATAAACGTGTTTCGAAGAACATGTGCAAGAATAGAGATTATTGTTTTACATTTTCTGTTTATAGCAACCTGTGTTAAAGGGGACAAAACTCTGGTCGTTGATTCAAATGACTGCAAGCGATTTAGGCAGTGTGTACATGGAACCTACGTCTCGATGCCTTGTGCTCCTGAAACTGGTTTCCATGAGGGTCAACAAAGGTGCGAACATTTGTATTTGTTACCAAACTGCAATTAATAAAATAGAACTCGGTGTTAATTGTAACGAAAAGTTCTGAATAAAATAATTTAACGAAAATAGATTGATTCAATTAACATTTTCCTATTTCTAGCGGGAGCCCAAGTGTCTCAACGTGTGTCCCTAGTTTGCAGAGAAAGAACACATCACTTTCATTTGAACCGTATAATATTAATACAATTATTAGTGATTCAACCAAAGGCAGTTAACTTTAACATGTTTAGCTGGGGCCTTAGGTGTCCACTCTTTTTTCAGTATTGGCACTAAATCATAAACGTTTCGAAAATCAATGTACTGTTGCTAAAGAAACATGTTGCCTGTGGAAACGTTTCATTTCTATAATCCACTTAACAACGTACGTGGAATCATATGGTTTACTAGAACCAAACCAATCTGGATTTTTAACTACTGGTTATATTTTACCGTTACCTACCCTAATTGAACTTTATATGAATGGTGTGAAAACGCATTAACAGTACATCTTTAGATTGCAAGGTATATTTTGATCTTAAGATCGTGCAGCGATATTCAAAAAGCTGATATCTTAACGGAAATTGTAATAAGATGTAGTAAACATTATACATGTTAAATCAAATCTTGGGCCAAGTATTCTAATGTTGTCCAAGGTGATAATCTCTTGTCTCTCCTCTTTACAATATTTCCAAATGATTTCATTCCCGTTTCATAGATTAAATCAAACACAAACACAAATAAACACAAACTAGAGCCACATGAGTGCCATAAAATCGTAAAATCATAGACGTCGGAGGTCAAATATGAAAGTATCAACTGATAGCCAAGGTCAATGACCTTTGACCCAATGAAGGTCAAGGTCATCAAAAGTCAATGTCATGAGATATGAGCCTTCAAACTTCGAAAAAAAATCAAAAAACCAAAAGCGAAATTAAAAAATCAGCTTCCTAGTTTTTGTTGGCAATCATTTACAGATTACATACACATACAAATTATACACTTCTAATTCTCCCCCTGAGGTCCCATTTTTAGTTTTACAAAAATGTGTCATTATGGCGGCCAGAGAATCACTTCCGGTCTAGATTTTATTTTAAAAACGGCTGTAAAATTTTATCTGCTAAAGACCATCCAAATTTTGTTGACCTACATAAATTACAGCGGAAGTTATTCAACCGCAAGTTAACGTCAATTTTACGTTTAAACCGGAAGAAAAGCAAAAAAAAAAATGACTGTACCATTTTGTTTGCTTTAGTAATCTACCTTTGCACCTAAAATTTCAAATTAATCGCATAGAAAGCAAAAAACTTTTTTATTTTCAATAGGGTTCATCCTTTGGGTGATTACAAACACTCACACCAAGTTTCGTCAAAATCCATCAAGAAACCAGCTCTCTATCGTGTCCACAAACAATTCAAGAACACGGGCAATAACTCATAGTAAGTATTTTTCGATTCGTCTGATTTTCAATAGGGTTCATCCTTGGGTGATTACAAACATTCAGACCAAGTTTCGTCAAAATCCACCAAGAAACCAGTTCTCTAGCGTGTCCACACTCTATCGTGTCCACAAACAATTCAAGAACAAGGGCAATAACTCATAGTAAATATTTTTCGATTCGTCTGATTTTCAATAGGGTTTAGCCCTGGGTGATTACAAACACTCACACCAAGTTTCGTCAAAATCCATCAAGAAACCAGCTCTCTAGCGTGTTCCCAAACAATTCAAGAACATTAATGTGTGGACGTATAAAAAGGTTAATTGAGTAGACGGCAGACAGACAGACAGACAGGGGCGACGACTATATACGCCCATATTAGTGTGTGGGCGTATAAAAAGGTTAATTGAGTAGTAGGCAATATATTTTTGCTTAATAGGAATACCAACATCAAAACAAAAATTTATAAATCTTTCCAGTTTTTCAGACAATACTGGTTACTTGTTAAAACATGAACCGTGTTAGGAGAGTCCAGTTTACCCAAGGCAAAGCACAACTTGATTTTTCCAAAAAAAAATGGCAAGAATAGCTTAGGCCCATTGGAAGTGTCTTGTCAAAGTAGATGTTATTTTTAACAGTAAGACCTGGCAATGAGAAATCTGATGGATGGATAGGTATCAATTTGTAGGCATTCTCTATGTCAGTCTTAGCCAAAAGGCACCCTTTCCCACAATGTTTTAAAAAATGGATAGCATTTTCAATTGTTTGATATTGTACTGTAAATTTGTCCTGGGGAAAATAGTCATTGATTGATAAATTTTCTGTAAAAGAAAGGTGGTGAATAATTCGAAATTTGCCAGGGGCTTTTTATGGGATTAAACCTAATGGAGAAATTTGGATATTATGAATGGGTAACTCCGCAAACGTAAAGGGACCTGCAACACGCCCTGCAGGTTGTTCCTTGTTGATTTCAATTTCAATATTATCAATCGCTGATTTCCGAAATATCAAAGAGTAGCTGATTCACCTGCCTGGTCTTTAAGACCAAAAATAATGGACGCATATTTCGAATTTTTGATTGTTCCCCAACCTTGTCGTCCTTTTCAAATGCAATTTCATTGCCCTGCTGTTTCATAACATTTTTGAGGACCTGTTTTTCCCACAAGAAGGCCAAAATCTATAAACTCATTGGCCCATATTTTGGCTTTTACTTTTGAGTCTATATCCAAGGCCAAAGGTTTAACAATACTCATACTCTAAGTATTACCTTGTAAATTTGTAGTTTGTGGATTGAAAAATGATTTTGATCTTGCAACCACTGTAAAACAGAAAGTTGGTCATAGTTAGGCAACTGCTAAGGCATTCTATTTAACAGTAACTCAGCCACTTGTTCTGTAATAGTTGGAATTATAGAGTTTGAGTCAGAATATCGGTGAGATTGTTTCGAGGAGCAGACTGTTCCCTGTCACCTTGGAAATCACTATCCTCATTACTTGAGTATGTGTGGTATCTGTGATCTGGAATATTGGATGGAACACCAGTTATGTGGTGTTCGGCCGACGAAGAAATGGTGTGCGGCTTAGATGTTAGATGGTTTCTAATTTGTATGTAGGTGTTCGTAGACGCGACAAGCTGAATTTGCTCTTATTGAGCACTTAGCGTAAAATGCTGTATCAACTCCAAAACAATGTAGAGAACTAAGCTTTATATGCTGTATTATCCCCAAACTACTATAGGGCACTTAGCTTAACAAGCTGAATAAGCTCCCAATACCGATAGACTTAGATTACAATCCTAGCTATAATTACCCCATTTTTAAGAATTGCTTCGGTAATAAAGTTGTTGCCAACTGCACTGATATATGTGCTTTGCTGGTCGCAAAGAGTTAACAGCACGTAATATGCAAAAGTACATGTCAGGATTTGTAAGTGTTCTGACTTTAATCAAACTATTACAATATTCAGCCATCTGATTGTATGTGTTTACATTGATCGAGCGAGTTTCCAATTTCGAAGGTATTTGACAAACAGACGTCTGTGTAATCCTGTGCTCTCTAATCCAAGAGTACAGAGTTTTAAAATACTTTTCCACAAGTTGTCTTACAAATTTCTATTTCTGTATTCATCTTACTTTTATACTGTCTTCAACTGTTATAATGTGCAATGAAAAATGTGAAAGGAGCGAATTGCGAAAAGGAGCGAACTGGGTAATAGGCAAAGTGGGAATAAAGGGCAAATCTAAAAAGGGGTTGAATTGGAAAGGGACTAAAATAAATCGACTACAGTAGTTGATATTTGTGCTTCAAGACCAAACCTCTGTTCTTTGAGCAAACTGGGCTTGGGTCCATACTGGTATCATATGATTTCTTTTATTAGCAGTTAAGAATAATTTCCTTTGTTTGTGTTTAACTTATATATCTTCTTGGATTAAATATCTTAAAAAGCAGGAGGGTACCTGATTGCACAGAAACGCATGTTGGTTCATTGTGCCATATACCATCGATACATGTCGGTACGATAACCATTGCGAATCCATAAGCGCAGGAAAACCTCAGACCATTATCACGGAACTTATCGTTGCTTTCTGTCGCAGACTAGAATCTTGTCAAGAGTTTCACCGTCAGGCTGTTGACACACGAGACCTGAAATCTTCAGTCGGTCGTTTTCTTAATGTGGATATGCACGGGATGACTATTCAATTGAAATGAAAATTAATCTGATTGTATGATGACGTTCTGTGGAGTCTTGTCTCGTCAAACGAAGAATACAATCGCCGTCGAAAAAAATCTGCTACAAATGTCAAACTGGTTTGATGCTTAAAATCATGTCCAAGAAGCAGCATAAGGACAAGGAGAGACACAGTCCCACATCCTCTAATTTCACTGGTTTGTTAACTAACTAGTTTGAGTTTGAGTTTTAATAGATATTCTTTGAGTGTTCTTGATACCATAGATTCACTGTATTGTCAACTAACTTGTTTGAGTTTGAGTTTTAATAGATATTCTTTGTGTGTTCTTGATACAATAGATTCACTGGTTTGTCAACTAACTTGTTTGAGTTTGAGTTTTAATAGATATTCTTTGTGTGTTCTTGATACAATAGATTCACTGGTTTGTCAACTAACTTGTTTGAGTTTGAGTTTGAGTTCAAGTTTGAGTTTGAGTGTGTGTTCTTGATACAATAGATTCACTGGTTTGTCAACTAACTTGTTTGAGTTTGAGTTTGAGTTCAAGTTTGAGTTTGAGTTTGAGTTTGAGTTTGAGTTTAAGTTTGAGTTTGAAAATCGCTTACGTACACAATGTAATACCAGCTTCACGCGGTCTAAATTTAAAATGTGTCAATGGATATTTTCTGCGGATATATGTGGCTCACTGGTTGAAAAATAGTTAGGTTTTCCAGGTGCTAAGCTGTGACTGAATTTGCCAACTCTGCTTTTAGTTCGAGTCATTTTAAGGACAAACAACAACAAAACTTATTTTAAGATTGATGCTTATTGTATTAAACAAGTGACTTTTGATGTCAAAGACGTAAAAGCAAAAGCCGCTCATTGGAAAACAGAGAATACATATACTTCTCTGTTCTAATGGGATAAAAACTGTAAGCTCCTAATGTCTGAGACCTCACTTACCTATCTGTGCAAAAAGACGAAGAAT